TGAATTTATAAATCCTGGTCAAAATAAAAAATCTGAGCTGACCATAATTATTTTGCATAATATCAGAGAGACTAGGTATCCAAATCGTTTATTTTATAAATATTTGCTTTGTTTAATTTTCATTAAACCTGGGTTCGGGATAAGTCCATAACATTATACATTTTTATTTATTAGTATTAATTAATAATTTAAGTTTTTGTTAGGTTTAACACATAATCACAAGTACTATTTTATTTTGAAAATTTTTATTTAAGAAAATTTCACAGGAATTTTTGACGATTTTTCTTCAAAAATTATTTTAGGGATTTTTTTTTTCCGGGGATATTTTTTTCCTTATATTGTTAATTTTATAAAAATAATTTTATATTTTATAGGATTTAAAAAATGGGGATTTCCGAGGAAATTTTTTCAAGGGAATAATTTTCTATGATATTTTTTTTCCAGGGAATTATTTACCTGGGAATTATTTTCCGGGGAATTTTTTTCCAGGGAATTATTTTCCTGGGGATTTTTTTTCCGGGGAATTATTTTCCTAGATTTGTCTTTCCTATATTAATGTTAAGGTTCTTAGAAATTTTTACGAAGTTTCAGTCAGCTTTATACCAAAATACTTTTTTCTGGTATATTCAAGGAGTAGACCTAAGATACTTATTTTTTAAAAAAAAAAAATAGGAATACAGAGTTAATCACCTTATGGAACATTGAAACTGTGATGTAGTTCAGCTTTTCTTTAAAATATGTGATAGAGATACAAACAAGTAGGTGACCGGGGATAAGTTGTCATGTTTTTGCTCATGATGCTTTGCTCTTAATCATTAAGTATGAATGTAGAGCCAAACATCAATATTTATAATAAAATTCAAAGCTCTATTTTATAATAGGTTTTTTTTAAAAAACTAAAATCATATTAAGTAGTCAACCCAATGTATCCCTTGTGTACTGGCCATTTAAATAATTTATCATTAATGTGATATATAAAAGATGTGATAGTTTATTCAAATCCAAATCATTTGAAACTAACTCACCCCTAAACCAATTCGATTCTTGTCTTAGTCACGATCGGTTGCTTAAATTAATAATGTTGGATATTATTTAAAAAAATTAAGTCATATAAATATTTAATCATTTATGATTTTTTAATTTAATTAGATTTATATAGGATTATGATATGATTTATTAATATTAAATGGTCAATATAATAAATATTTATGTTCCTATTTTTGTGTCATTATGTATGAGTTTCTCAGTTAAATTCAATAACTCAAACTTTGAATTTCGGCCAAACCAATATCTTGAATGTTGAAAAATATAACCAGAACCAAACACCTAAGATCTCAGAAAGAATCCACTTGAAAATGTCCAGCTTTAACTTGCTTAGAGTTTCGTCTCTGTAAAAACACCCCTCTCCCATTTATAATCCTTTGTTCATTTATTTTTCTTTCAAAACTCTGTTTCATATACAGATTGGCTATTGAAGCATCTTTTCCATTTATTTTATGAATAAATTACAATATATTTTTTGCCAATTTCTAATACATAATTGATACTGTTAAACGGCTCGAATTTTAAAAAACGGTTAACTCAATATTTTTGCTAGTACTAGTAGGCAAGTCTGGATATTTTGGTCGTAGAAGATAGAAGGGTTTAGACATCTATTAACAACATCTTGAGGCTTGTGTGGTATTATTTGAATAAAAATAGTGGGCAAGCCATTTTAAAATATCCAGGCATTTAATAATACTAAACATAATCGATAATAATATTAAAAAAATAATAAATATTCATCTCTATTTAAAACACTTTTTTTTTTTACAGATAAAATAAATGTTTAAATTTCCTTTTATATCGCAAATTTTTTGCCAAGTTGAAATAGTTATTTATAGTTATAAGGCGACGAGTAAGCCACCGCTTAAAATATACATTATTTTTAAACAAAATATATACTTTAGACATAATTTATTGATTTAAAAGACATTTGAAAAAATAAAATTTACAATTCTCTCATTTTAAAGTGGCGTCACTATTGGAGGGTGCGCAGGGGCTCGAGCCCCCTGATAAATTTGAATAGCTCTCTGAAAAAAATTTTTTTTAATGGCTCCTTAATATCCACTTGAACTAAAAATAAACTTTATTGATTGCCTCCTGATCAATTTCTTTTATAATTTTATCACGTAATATATTGATTTAATTTTATTATTTAAAAATTAATAAGTCTATCTAAATTTTTATTAAATGAATACTATTTTAATTAGATAAGATTAATACATATAAATTATATTTTCACTATGTCAACGTGCAATCAAATTCTGTGTTAACAATAGAATATCAATATCACTATTATATAACCCAAATTAAATAAATATATACATTTATTAATTGAAAATTAACAAATTAAATATTGTAATTAGCCGAGTTCAAAATCATTAATCAACTATATAATTCATTTTTAAATTTAATTACCATGCCTCTTCCTAAAAAAATTTTCAATCGAAATAACTATAAAGATTTCTTTATAAAAAGTAAATAGATTGATCGTTTATAATCCTCTATTATAAATCATTGGTTAATTAAATATATTTTCTTCTTTTTTTACGTGTTTTTAGGAAAGCTATTTTTTCCTTCTTTAAATAACAGTTTTGAATTAAATTTTTAATATGAGTATATTTTTGATATTATTACAAACTTCTATTATTTTAAGATATAATATATTAACTAGAAGTAGAGCGACAATAATACATAAAATCTTAATTGCTTTCATCATATCACTCTGGTTCTTATTTTATAGTTACAAAATGTCTCATTTCTAATATGGCATCCTTGCCCTGTAACTAACTCAAGGCTACAATATATTTGCATAATTTCTTCTAAATATTTTTAGTGTTTTTGTTTTATCAATTTATCATAAATTCTGATATGTGTTAACATCGTGAGCGTCATGGCTATTACTGAAAATTTACAAGCATCTATTATTTGAGTGGCTATGTAATTTAAGATTATTACTACAGCTGCTGAAAGCGTATGATAGCATATTTTAGATAAGCAATAATGGTCAATTGTGTAGTCGTTTATATATCATTAAAAATGGAAGATAATCTTTTAGAAATTTAATATCTCACAATAATTTTTTCGATTACTTATCTAGCTTCCAATATGTCATCTAAGAGGAAGCTCTAACCACAATATAGTTTTATGATTTAGATTGGTCGTTTATATTCTCTTCTTCAAGAATTATTTGATTAGGCCTATATATTTTTCCTTATTAGTCCATTCTATGAAAATTTGTCTAAAATTGTAAGAAAGTATTATTAATTTTTTGACTTTTTGTCAATGTAAGTTGCTAAAAATTATATTGCCTTATGTGGTTTTTAAAAACCATATAAGGCAATAGGGCATACATTAATTAACCTTTTTTATCACTAGTAATTCTTTAGACGCAAAATGTTATATATCAGAAATCGTTAATATTTTATACTGTAATAATAAGATTTTGTATTAAAAAATATTATTTTTAGAAATGTCTTGTATTGTTTAAATTATATATATGTTAGAATTAAATGATTTTATATCCCTCAAAATTAATTATTTATATATTATTTTATATAATATCTAATGTCAATTATATAATGTTTTAATGTAGATTAGTAGGCTATATATTTAATTTTATATAATATCTTATGACAATATTATATGATATGTATACAAGACATCAAGTGATTGACAATCACTAGCGATCAGGGATATGACAGTGATAATCTGAAAATCAACTCCTTTGTTGATTTATATATATTTATGTTGATGTGTACAAGTTAAATTTATTTTGTTACATATATATGATTGAATTGATAAATAAAATATATATGGAAATTGAAGTTATTTTAATCTTCAAGGACATAACATCACTTTTTATACTATAAATATGTAATTTTCTATTTAGTTAAGGTTATTACGAGTAGTTCAGATCGCTTGAAGATATAAACATCTATCATCTCAGAATGTTAATTAATTACCACTATATTATCAAATTAGTTAAAATTACTGCTATGGTTGGAAATTATTGTAAAATGTTCAAAAAATATCATTTTTAAATGTTCCAAATTATTTGATATATTTTAAATTATTTATAAATATTCAGTGTTTAAGATTTAAAAAAATGCAAGAAAATATACTTAAAATTTTCGTTGGATAAATTATTAATATACAACGACAAAGTATTTTAAAAAAGATTTTTGCTAAAATTTAAAATAGAATGTAACTTATAGAATACTTTGTAATTCATAATTCTTGTAAATCTTTTACATTTTTGAAAAATCAGAATAAATATACCGATGTTTGGTAAAATTATTAGTGATTTTAAAGAAGTTTTTATTTAGTTCCTTAAAGGGTCATTTTAAAATACAATAAGAGAAAAAGTTAAATAAAAAAGGAGGGGTCTGGGTTAGTTTATATTAAAATTTAGATGAGATAAAAAAAATAGAAAACCTTCCTTTCTCTCTTTCTTTCTATTATATATTAGAAAATTAATAATATAAAATATTGTTTAGTAAAATTTAGAAATAATATAATACGATTTGTAGACATAAATTAATTATACATATATCCTATTTGGTATTCATAAGTTATATAACTTTTATTTAACTTAAAATTTAAAAATTACTAATCAAATTTATTGTGTATATAATTATGAATTTCATACTTTGTACAGAGATAAATATATTTTGATACTTATCTTATATTTAAAATAAGATTATTTAACTCCATGTCTATCGCGATACTTTCTTTCTTTTCTTTGGGTTGATTAGAGCCTAAAGAATAAAATAAAATTCGGGTCATCCTTATGTGCGATATTTAATACCTTTAGAGGTCAAAATTTAGTTGATATTTTATAGTATAGTTGGATGCTAAATAATAATCATATAAAAAAGTATTTTAAAATTAGAATTAAACAATAAAAATTTAGACTTGGAATAGTAATATTTATCCAAATGATATGTCATTGTATTTACCAAGTGGATCTTAAATCTTTAAATTTAAAATGTCCGACACTGAAACTCATAAAAAGAGGATAAGGATTAACGATGATAGCAAACTAGTTAATGTTGAATTTGAAACTAGTGAAGACGTTAAAAAAACTTCGACTTTTGAAAAGATGGGGCTTCGTAAAAGTTTGCTAGATGGAATATATTCTTATGGTTTTGAAAAACCTTCAGCAATTCAGCAACGTGCTATTATTCCTGTCATCAAAGGTAGAGACGTAATTGCACAGGCGCAATCGGGAACTGGTAAAACAGCAACTTTTGCCATATCTATTCTCGAATCGATAGATACAAAAATTCGAGACACTCAAGCTCTTGTTCTTGCACCAACTCGTGAGTTGGCCCAACAGATACAAAGAGTTATTCTAGCAGTAGGTGATAGAATGAATGTTCAATGCCATGCTTGCATTGGAGGTACAAATCTAGGAGAAGATATTAGGTTAATAATGTTATGAATTGATTTAAACTTTAAATAAAAATAAAATTATTCCAAATTTTTTGAACATAAGTTTTCTATTTATTGCTAGAACCATTTTTATCTTATGTGTTAATTAAACTGAATCTTATTAAAAGACTTCATAAATATATTTTTAATTACTATTAAATTTATTTTTCAGATATAATTTTAATATTTTTATATATTTAAATTATATTTATTTTTATATCAGTATAGGATAATAACATAATTAAAATTATAACAACATTGTTTTTTAAAATTAACTCAAATTCAAAGACAATATTAAAATTAAAAAATATATTTATAAGCTTAAATTAATTATTTGACATTTATATATTTTTTAAAATTGAACTAATACTTGCATATTATCCAATTCAATTATAAATATTATCCTATAACCAAACCTGATCTAAACAAATGTTTAGGCATATATACTGAGTTAGTTTATTAATAAAATATAACAAATAATAAAAAATACATCAAAAGCTTAATAGTAACATATTTGGTTATTGAAATAAAATGATTATCTTTTTAAAATATCTTCAATATAAATTTTTCTTAATCATCTTAAAAATTTTAAACAACTTTAGATTTTCAGGTGAAAACTTTTATTTGAGTGTTTTAGGTCAACATTTTGAATGTATTTGACTTAATTAATTTTATAAAAATACTTGTTGGTTTTTTAAAAAACATCAAAACATGCTTTTCAGATAACCCCTTTCAATTTTTAATAAATTTAGTATTCAAATAAAGCACATTTAATATTTTTACAAAAGAAGTTAAAGGGATTTTTTGCCTAATACAAAATATTAGAACCTCACCTTAATGATAGTATTTATAAAAACTAGGAAAAAATTTATTTATATCTCCTAAATTATATATATTTTTTTAAATAATAAATCATCTAGAAAATTCCTATGATATCATTTCTAATGCCCTATAAATAAGGCTTTTGGCTGGGATTTATTTTTATCATCAATTAATAGTATTTATGCAGCATCTTAACTACTAAAGATCTGTATAGGCTAGGTTAAAACCTTTATGAGTTGGGCAACTCTTACAAAATATTTTGAATATAAAATTTAAATTTCGAAGAATTTATATGTAATATATTTTAAAAAATTATACATATTGGAGATACCCTTTATAAAATCTTAACAGGCCAATTCATTGCAAATGTGTTACCCCCACTGCATTGATCACCATTGATTTTTTATGATTTTTCAAATTCATAGTTAGATATTAATTTCTTAAAAAAATGTAAAATCATAACTGATATATAAATATACAATAATTTATCTAAAAAGTTTTTGAATTTAATATTTTATAAATTATAAGGAAAATATAAGTGTTTTGAAAACTATCACCTTATACAAAGATATCCTATATGCTAAGATCACCAAAATAATTATCCATGTTAATTTATCTATCCTATTTTTAAATATTAACTATCTTCTGCTTTGTTTTTAAAAATTAATATTATAATTTTTTAGGCTGTGTCCTAAATCAAAAAAAAAAAAATTCATAAATTTTGCGAATCTCAAGACTTTCGGGAGATTTGAGAGGTACGAAATATGTCCCGATTCATATATTTATTTTCAATTTTTAACTGTTTGATATGAATGATTTACTATTTCTATTTTTTATATTATTTGTTGATATGACTGAGCGTAGAAGAAGGCATAGATTTTTAGAAGGCCAGTATATATGATATTATATGTATTATTTCGAAATCAAGGACTTTTTAAAATATTTGATAGTATTCCATCTAATACTTACAAATTTCGTCAGATGTTCCACATGCATGTTGAAACATTCAACTACATTCTTATGAATTTGAGTCTATAGACACCGCTATAGTTATACATAAAAACTCTATTAGTATGAAGCATCGACTCTATATAACACTCATGTATGATGATCATTTTTTTTATAATCTGTATATATTTATAGATATTTGACAACTGGTATGAGCTTTAGAAAAATAGCATTATAGGAAAACATCAGTAAGCACAATTGTCACAGCAACATGTAGGTTATTATGGGTAGGTCTACAGCCCAAGCATCTCTGTTTTCCGACAGTTCAACAGATGCTTGAAATATCAGCAAGATACTTCAGGAAATCAGGTTTTCTTCATATAATAGGTGCTATTGATGGAAAACATGTCAAAATAAAACAACCTAAAAAAAGTGGATCCACATTTTATAATTATAAAAAATTCAATTCCATTGTGATTCAAGGTATTTCAGATGATAAAGCTAGATATTTATATATTTTCTAAATTTTAATCCTTTTCTAGATTCATGTTGATAGAAGTTGGGTTTCCTGGATCTATATCAGATAGAAGTATATTTTCTAAAAGCCTATTTTATGAAGGGATGATCAAAAAAATCATAAAGATTCTCAATCCAAATTTTTTACCCTCAACAGATATATTATCACCTTACGTATATGTAGGTGATGATGCATATCCTTTAATGGATTTTATTATGAAACTTATAAAACAAATTTGAATGATAATAAATTAAATTTCAAAACAAAATTATCAAAAGCCAGAGTATCTATAGAGAGATGCTTTAACATCATGAGTGCCAAATTCAGACACCTATATAAACTATCGGAAACAAATATTACCAATACTATACAAATAGTTAAGGCTGACTGCCTATTGCACAATATTATAATTGATCTTGAGGTAAATCATTCTACATCAATAATTCATGAAGATTTTCCTATTCCAAATTTTACCCAATCTCAGTTCCAACAATAGACTGAAAGCTCTAATAATATCAGACAAACATTTAACCTATTTGTAAATAATTATATGTAAAATTTTTGTATACATTTATTTTTTAATTCCCATAATAACCTTAAATTTCTTAATTCTCATAACCTTATATTTCTTATGAATGTTTTCATTTGTCAAATTTATATAATTTTTTTTATAAATATTCGATAAAGAATGCAATAAAAAGTGTTCTTTTGATTATATTGTATTAGTAAAATATTTGTAATTAATTTAATGAGGAAGACTGCTACAATGAATAAATTTACACTTTTTAACATTAAATATAAGAATTTTTATTATAAAAATATACAAAATATGTTAAACATATTATAAATATGGTATTAAATATTAAGATATAAGAATATAATATGTATAAAAGATTACATATAAATAGATATAAATTCTTCTGAAAATTTCATTTTTATTTCATAAATTTCTTTTTCAGTCATAAGTTTAAAGGTTGTTTGGAAGGATTTAAAAAATCTCTGAACATGATGAATATCATCATCATATGATACTTTTTTTGCAAAATCTATTTCAAAAATAACTCTAAATATATCCATCTTTTCAGTATCATATTTTTTAATTTTGTTTATTCTTTTAGATTTGGAATTTCCCAAATTTTTCCTTTTAGAGGTACAAGGAGAAATATTTTCTTTTTGTCTAACTATCATTAAATTAATAAAATATATAATAAATATTCAACTTCTAATATTTCATTCTCAGACATATTCATGTCTATAGGACTAAATGAATTAACTATATCATTTAAGATATTTTGTGCATTTGGTTCATCATTCTAAAGTATAGTTTATTATATAGATCTAATTTCATGTAATAATGCCTGTGATGATGTTTGAACATTCATCACATCTTGAATGATTTGCTCATAATCCTAAAATATAGATTATTATATAGTTCTAATTTCATGTTATAATACATGTGGAGATATTTTTTCATTAATAGAATCCTTAGATAGTTTCAAACTGAAACTAGCTTCAGAATGCTTACAAATATCTTCAACATTTTCTTTTAGTCAATAATAATCCTCAATAAATTTGAGTTGCTTGCTATTCAAAATATTAGCACCTGAACCTAAAATATAAAATAATATATATTATATTTATAATTATACCTGATTTTCTGGATATAACAAAAATTTTATTAAATTTTGCCTTTATTTCAGCAAATTTTTTTTCTATTTCTCATAAGTAAGATCATATCTCTTACCAATCTCCTCCCACTTGATTTTGCTACCAGCGGTGTCTATGTATTTAAGGTCACTAATACACCACAAATATCTATAAGGTCTTATAGTTTCCATCAATTGAAATTCGTTAGCCATTTTTATTCCCTCAATTTGCAAGATTAATTATTATTGTGCAATATGCAGTCAGCCTTAACTATTTGTATAGTATTGGTAATATTTGTTTCTGATGGTTTATAAAGGTGTCTGAATTTGGCACTCATGATGTTAAAGCATTTTCTATAGATACTCTGGGTTTTGATAATTTTGTATTGAAATTTAATTTATTATCATTCAAATTTGTTTTCTAAGGTTTCATAATAAAATCCATTAAAGGATATGCATCATCACCTACAAATATGTAAGGTGATAATATATCTGTTGAAAATAAAAAATTTGTGTTGGGAATCTTTTTTGATCATTCCTTCATAAAATAGGCTTTTAGAAAATATACTTCTATCTGATATAGATCCAGGAAACCCAACTTCTATTAACATGAATCTAGAAAAGAATTAAAATTTAGAAAATTTATAAATACCTACTTTATCATCTGAAATACCTTGAATCACAATGGAATTAAATTTTTTATAATTATAAAATGTGGATCCACTTTTTTTAGGTTGTTTTATTTTGACATGTTTTCCATCAATATATGAGGAAAACCTGATTTCCTGAAGTATCCTGATATTTCAAGCATCTGTTGAACTGTTGGTAAACAGAGAGCTTGGGCTGTAGACCTACTCATAATAACCTACATGTTGCTGTGACAATTGTGCTTACTAATGTTTTTCCTATCTTTGCATATAATGCTATTTTTCTAAAGTTCATACCAGTTGTCAAATATCTATAAATGTATACAGATTATAAAAAAAATGATCATCATACATGAGTGTTATATAGAGTCGATGCTTCATACTAATAGAGTTTTTATGTATAACTATAGCGGTGTCTATAGACTCCAAATTCATAAGAATGTAGTTGAATGTTTCCACATGCATGTGAAACATCTGACGAAATTTGTCAGGATAAGATTGAATATTATCAAATATTTTAAAAAGTCCTTGATCTCTAGAAATAATACATATAATATCATATATACTGGCCTTCTAAAAATCTATGCCTTCTTCTACGCTCAGTCGTATCAACAAATAATATAAAAAATAGAAATAGTAAATCATTCACATCAAATATTTTAAAATCTATGAATCGGGACATATTTCGTATCTCTCAAATCTCCCAAAAATTTTACGATAATTTTTGAGAATTTTTTTTTGATTTAGGACACAGCCTAATTTATAAAATAGAAATCTGGTATCAATATCGGCAAAAAAATGTTACCAGTGCATCTCTGTCCTAAAGCCTGACCTGAAAATTTTATAGGTCTGATCATAGTCAAATATTCCTTTTGAATTTTAAGCTCAGCCCATATAAAAATATTTGAGACTTTCAAACAGAAAAATATTTAGTATATTTTTAAAACTAATTTAAATCATATTGAGTGGGTACCTTATTTTTTTTATAAATGACAAAATTTTAAATTATTTTGGATGAGTTGATTGAAAACTATTCGATATTATTTGTATACCAGAAAATTGGATTATGGACAACACGTGGTATCTGGTACACCGGGCCGAGTTTTTGATATGATACAGCGCAAATGCCTTCGCACCCGCAATATCAAGCTGCTTGTTATAGACGAAGCGGATGAAATGCTTAGCAAAGGATTCAAAGAACAGATATATGACATATACCGCTTCTTACCACCCCAGACCCAGGTTCATAGCTTTATATATTTCTGAATTGATAATTATTAAATATAAAGTATACTTAAACATTTAATGTTGGCCATGTCCTCCATGATGAATTAGTCATAATCAAGACGATAACCTTCCTGTCTGATCTTGTTAATTTTGACAAAATTTGCATACTGAGAGAAAATCATTAAAATTTTTGTTAAAAATTATTGGTTATTTAATTAATATCATTAATTCCCTTAAATTTCCGTTAATTCCCAATCAATTTTTCTTAAATTTTGCATAATGGTAGTATATGCTATAAGAAAAAAAATGAAATTTTATCTCCCAAATGGGCGTTTAAAGCGCGGAAATGCGCTTTATATATTTTCAAACATCTTGAGAAATAATTAAGTTAGAGAAATAATTTATATTTTATTGTGTAGCGTAATAAGACATAAATAAATTATATAAATCTGATTAATATTGAAAATCTGATGTTTCAAATTTTTTTTCCTGTAAATAGATATAACACTGCTTTATATTTGTACTAAATCCTAGATTGGGATGAAAATGGGTCTAGGAGTTATGACTCCTTATGTGGCTAAAATTGATCAAATTTAACATAAATATCTTCATTTAATGAACACTTGTGAAATGTTTATATTTTTTTATCTTTAAGAAAACTTTTGAGAAGTGGTTGGGATAATGTGATTTATTTAACACTCAAGTTTTATTATGACTCGAAATTACTTGACAAAATAATTCTAAACATATTTAAAATATATCATCTAAAAAATTTGAATAAATTTTGACTTCTATTTTGTTTTTGTCTAGGGTAATAAAAGCATTGTACTTTTGTGTTCCTAGCAAGTGGTCTATCTGCACATTGCATCAAAATTTTTAGCTCATTTTAATAGGTGGAAAATTAAAACAGCTAACAACTGATATTGATCATTATAATTATCCTCCTATCAACGAATATAAACATTGTATAGCACAAAATCTTTGCAATCCAGTCCAGATGTTATTTAAATAATATAAATTTTACCCTGGATCTTCCAAAATAAAAGAAAAACTTATTATTATTTGACGCGAATTCAATCCATTAGATAACATTCAAATAATGGTTAGCAGTTGATCGAACTACTACCCTCGAAACACTGATAAAATTCGCTGACGAATTCGCGGATTATTTAATTGAAAAATTAAACAATTTGATTCCTCATTCGTTTATAGCTTCACAATAATCACTACATCAGAAAAATAATAAATTTTGGTCAATCTATCAAATTTCTTTCTTTTAAGAACAAGATCATTTTTGTTTGAATTGAAATAAATAAAATGCACATGCGTTGTGCTAACAATCTGATATAACCACAAGACTTACATGTTTTATATGTTGTCTTCATGGTAATAAATGATAAAAGGGTGGAGAGTGTGGCCCTTTCGCCATTTCCTCTATGACCTCATTTGGACTAGGATTATGATCTCTATTTATATTTAGAAGAGCCAATCCATTGGTCCTCGCCTGGCCAGAGGTTGTCCTTAAATAACTTTTAAGTTGAGTCAGTGTCGAAAATGACTGCTCATTAGTGCAAGTAGTTATGGTAAGTGTTGCTAATATTATTAAAAGTGTTTTGATATTTGTTCTTAAGTTTAAAGTTTCCTTAAATAATTGTAATAACAGGGTTACTGGGATGATCTGTAGGGATCATGCTGCTTAGATCAGAATACCAAGCTTCAGTATCTGATTTTAGCTGTTCGTATCCACCGATAATGTCGGATTCAAAAAAATTATAATTTTTTTAATGCTAAGCATTATATTATTGTTAATAATTAATTGTTCTGAGGATGATGAATATTTTAATATTTTGCTATGCCCAGCAAATTTTAATTTAAAGTGAGTAATAATTGTTTTTAATAATGGTAAAAAAATAACTTTTTTATAATAATCAAAAGTTGATTCCAAAGCTAACATGTAATCTATGATTAGCCTACGTTTCTCAATATTAATTTTAAGTTTCTCACCCAAACTTAAACATCTTTCATATATTGGTAAAATAATATTGTTGGCATTTACCTAAGCATCTAAAAATATATTTTGAAGTAACTTTTCCCCTCCAAGCTCTTGTAGAAAATTCGAGCCGTGTTGCGTCTAAAATTTAAATATGATTGGCACTTTAATTAAATTGAATTTGCATGGTTCTACTCTTGGGTAAACTAAGAAAAAATAAATCTCATTTACTAATCTTTCAAATTTTATTATACATTTAAATTTAATTATAAATTAGTAGGTAATAAGAAAGTTAATTAATATTAAAATTAAATGATAGTTAATTAATATGAAAATTGAAATTACATTGAAAATAAATAAATTAATAAGAAAGTTATTTAATATGAAAATTGAAATTAAATTGAAAATAAATTAAATTGAAAATCTCCTTACCTTTATTAATTAAATGTTTTCTTGGTATATTCTTCGTTAATTAAATATTTTCTGGATATACTCTATAATTTAAGAATTTTCATTAATCATATAATTTATTGGTCTCTTTATTAATTAAATGTTTTTCTCGTATCTTCAATAATTTTTTCAATCGTAAAATTTTCTTCTTACAAAAACCAATTAATGAATAAAAATCCTTTTCCTTTGTTGCCACTGTATTTCTTTTCACAAATATCAACAAAATACATGGCTAACAACAGGTTCATAATATATACATATATTATAATAATTAATTTTATCATTTTAATACAATTATAAATAATCATTTAAAAAATTACAACAAATCATTTAAAATATTACAACAGTAGGCTTTATTATTTTTTTCTACATTAATTCCATTTTCTAACTAAGCATTCAAATATTTGTTCAAATTGCGATGATTTTGGCGGTTTGTTTGATTTAACTATTTTTTCTCTTCCAGACTATGTTAAATCATCTTATATAATTATTAGTTTATATAGTTACTTAACTATCAAAACAACACTCAGGTATTACAATAACAAACAACTACGTTTTAATGTATCTGTTTTTTTTTACTTACTTCAATTTTTTTTTCTCTTGAAACACGAAAATCGATAATTTTATTTCTTTATTTTTCTTTTCTTAAAATATGAAATCGTACATAAAATAAAATAATTGTCTCCAAGTGTTTTATTTTAATTATTTTTGCAAAGAAAATAATTTTTTATGGATAAGATAACATGTTTCATTAAATCATCACAACTAAGGGAATGCCTACCCATTGTGGCGCCACTATTTTATTATGAATAAAAATACTCGTAAGAGGAAAATAATTTCCAGGAAAAGAAAGAAAACATGATAAATTTTCCACAAAAAACCTAAGATATAGGAACTAATTGAAAAGATGATGATGGAAATAGCCGTCGACATGGACAAATCGGCCAATGGAGGAATCAGGCATACACTCCTAAAAAATCGTAGATAACATACAAAACAAAATATTTTGAAAAGATGATGGAAATAACAGTCAACCTGGACAAATCGGCCAATGGAGGATTCAGACATACACTCTCAAAAAAAATCGTAGATACCATACAAAACAAAATATTTTGAAAAATTTATGTATTGATTTTTTAAAAGAGAGAAGAGACTTACCTAATTTTCTCTTGGAGAACATATTGTTTCATTTGAATAATATAACTTATTTTTTTATATATCATTTATATATATTATAATAATTTCTTATCTGTAAATTTAAAAAAAATTTGATAAGCAAAATAATAATTGTAAGATTTGAAATATATAATATTCACTGCTTATAATCACCTCTGAAATAGTAGTTTTTTTTATTTAAAATTCAAGGTTACAGCGTTAGTAACTACGTTACTTTTTTTTACATTACTTTACAGCACAAATTAATATATAAATATTTATATTTTAGAAGGCAGATTTTATAATTTTTATTCTGATCATACTTAGGGTTGAACATCTATCGGTTACCGGATTAATTTATTAATCTATTTAATTAAAACCTATGATTGACAAAGACATATAAAAGTCTAATAATAAATTAATCAATTGTTTTAGTTAAAAAAATCAGCAATATATATTCAAAAATGATTATTTGAATAAAATAAGGATTCAAAATTTAAATTTTGTATTTCTTTTATCAATTATCTCCTTCCTTATACTTGTTTAGATGGACATGATACAAAAAAATTTGAATAATAAAATTTTATGTTACGAATTTTATAAATTATGAATTTTCTCAAATGACAATAAAATTTAAAATATCCTTTATTAAAATATAATAAATAATAAATAGTAATATGACATTTTAAAACAACTACAACTTAATTAATATGAAGAAAAAAATTTCATAGATGGAAAAGATGTAATCCATTTCACCAATCTTTTCCTCACAGATATAACACCATTCAATCTCAATATAAATATAGAACTTCCAATATAATTTTACTTTCCCAAAGAATTATAAAGTCAATTTTTATATGTTAGCATTTTTTACAATTAATAATAAAAATATCTAAAAAACAATTGAATTTGTAATAAAATGAAATTTACATTGAAACATATTCACCACCATTCTGATAAATCTAAAGAAAGAGCATTATGCAATTATGAATTAACTTAAAGTACAAATTCGAGCAACCCGGTTCAAGGCAAACGTAAAACATAAAATCAAGTTATGCATATTAGAAAAATGGATCCCCTTGTTAAACTGCATCCTAATGCTCTACCACCATTTATATCTGTGAAAACTATTATGAATCGTGTTATTAAAACATTAAGACCTCCTTTGCCTCTTATAAATTCTGATATCCGATTATACGGCAATTCTCGAAGAAATGTTTCTTACCATTTCTGTCAAGGGGTGCTACTTTCACTATTGTCAATGTATTTTAAGACGTATACAGGGAAATTTGTCAGAATTAAATCTTGAAGTAGAGTCCTTTAATTTAGATCCCATAAGAGATCTCTTTACATACTTTAAAAGTACTTGGATTAACCCAAGCGCTAAATTTAAATATAAGATGTGGAACATGTATGATGTTCAAGGTGTAAGAACAAATAACCATGTTGAGGGATTTCATCGTTCTTAAAAAGAGTATATAACATATTCTCATCCTAATTTATATCTGTTCATTGATAGAAACTTTTTATATTATGAAACTTATACACCAATGTAGTATTTAAATAAAATAATTTCTTTAAAAATATGAATATGTATTATTATTCTGAGTATAAATATAAAAACAATTTAGTCGGCAGGTATCTCATTATTTTTTTTTGAAATTAAATATCTTGATATTTTATCTAAATACTGCATTGGTGTATAAGTAGCATAATATAAAAATGTTTCTCGTCTATTATACAGTATTTTTTTTTTCTTTCAGTAACTTTTTTCCCATTATGCAATTGAATGAATTTAATGTCCATATCTTGTTGTATTTGTTTTAATATATCAATAAAAAGATATAAATTAGGATGAGAATATGTTATATACTCTTTTAAAGAACGATGAAATCCCTCAACATGGTTATTTGTTCTTACACCTTGAACATCATACATGTTCCACATCTTATATTTAAATTTAGCACTTGGGTTTGTCCAAGTACTTTTAAAGTATGTAAAGAGATCTCTTATGGGATCTAAATTAAAGGCCTCTACTTCAAGATTTAATTCTGACAATACCAATGGTATGTCCGTTTCAGTTAAAAAGGGTATCGCCATGAGTCTGTGATAAAATCTCTTAAAATCAGGATTAAGCCGACTAAATGCTGTCAATCTATTACCCTGTATACGTCTTAAAATAAATTGGCAATAATGAAAGTAGCATCCCTTGACAGAAATGGTTGGAAACATTTCTTCGAGAGCTCTTAAGTGCTCCCATTTCAAAATCTATAAGTGCTTTAGGAGGAGAAAATAAAAAACCTATAGATAGGCAATAGTTTTTTAAAAGATCCAACATTTTTAAATATGTTTCTTTGTTTTTATTTAGCAATAATATATAAGCGCAAGGAATTATTGTATGATTAATCATTACATGAATAGTGTAAAATTGCTTAAATAATAACGGACACGAAAAAAATGTACCGTCCATCAAAATTTTGTCAGCATTACAGAGGCATTCAAGTAATCCATGTGTAGAAAATATTAATAATTCATTATTTTCATTACAAATTAAAAATGTTTTATTACCTAGTGTTAACGTATAATCGCCGTATAATCGGATATCAGAATTTATAAGAGGTAAAGGAGGTCTCAATGATTTAATAACACGATTCATAATAGTTTTCACATAGAAATGTTGGTAGAGCATTAAGATGGAGTTGAACAAGGGGATCCATTTTTCTAATACGCATAACTTGATTATATGTTTTACGTTTGCTTGCTCGAATGTTCTTTAAGTTTATTCATAGTGACTAAAATTGCATAATGCTCTTCCTCAGATTCAGAAGGATGGTTGTGAATATGTGTCAATGTAAACTGCATATTTAATAATGTACCTCTTGCCGTACAATGACTTAGTCTACATTTAAATAAAATTCCAAATTTATGATGAACATACAGAAATTTATTTGAATATAACAAATTACGTTTTTTTTGGGAAAGAATAAAATTATATGGCTGTTCTACATTTAAATATGAGAATTGAATGTTATTAACTGATATTGGTAAAGTTACAGAGCTATCAGCTGCAATGGAGATATCGATTACAACTTCTTCATCTATAAAACTTTCGTCCAAAAATGGTAAAACATGTCCGGACCTTCTTCAAGGATCCCAGAAATCCCCAGAGCACCTCCATCTTCTTGTTCATGATTAATCACAGAAGTCACAATCTCTTCATTTCTACCCATCGATTCTTAAGGACAAAAATATTTTTGATTAATTATGATAAAATTAAAAAGAAAATATACTAACAAAATTGTGATTAACTATGATAAAATTAAAAAGAAAATATATTAACAAAATTTTATTAACCAAAATCAGCATCTTCTTGAATAGGATTGATCATCGAGGATATCGACTCCGGACCTTCTTCAAGGATCCCAGAAATCCCCACAGCACTTCCATCTTCTTGTTCATGAATATTCACAGAAGTCACATTATCTACATTTCTTCCTAATGATACTTAAGGAAAAATATATTTTTGATTAATTATGATAAAATTAAAAAGAAAATATATTAGCAAAATTTTGAATAACTATGATAAAATTAAAAAGAAAATATATTAACAAAATTTTGATTAAATATTTATAAAAAAATTTAAAAATAATTTTGTAAAATACTTCCTCTTCTTCCACTCAAATATTTGCAAATATCTAGAAAACAATAAATCACATCTTATATATTAAATAATTTACCGTTGCAAGCTGCTGTTTCAGTAAATAGGTTATTTACTGTGTAACCTCTCCTGAGACAGGTTGGAGAAATACAGGTAAAATATATTTTATTTTTATAACAACTTGACTTTCTATATGTAGAAGGTATCATTATTTAAAAAATTCTAAAAGATTTAGCTTGGTTTTGTCTTAATTTTATAATTTTCTACAAAAATGTCTATGTAAATATTAATTAAAACCTACTTTGCCTTGAGGTAGTGATATTTATATTTAATATTAGCTTGGTTTTGTCTTAATTTTATAATTTTCTACAAAAATGTGTATGTAAATATTAATTAAAACCAAATACCTTTGCCTTGAGGTAGTGATATTTATATTTAATATTAGCTTGGTTTTGTCTTAATTATAATATTCTACAAAAATGTGTATGTAAATATTAATTAAAACCAAATACCTTTGCCTTGAGGTAGTGATATATATATTTAATATTAGCTTGGTTTTGTCTTAATTTTATAATTTTCAACAAAAATGTGTATGTAAATATTAATTAAAACCAAATACCTTTGCCTTGAGGTAGTGATATTTATATTTAATATTAGTTTGGTTTTGTCTTAATTTTAGAATTTTCTTGGCTTTATTAATGTCTACCCTATAAATTGTAAGGATGCGAGAAAGATTCCGATTCCAAGCGACGATATTAATTTTAGAATATTCTAGAAAAATATATGATTTTAGAAAATATATATAATTTAGGAAAAATAATTTGCCATTTGACTCCAAATGGTTTGATGACAAAAGAAAAAAAAATGAATCGGACCGATACCCTTATGTTTTACGTCTTTAAATGGTGTAACTTCATCTTAAAATCATAAGTTCACGAAGTTAAATAATTCTGAAATTACTATAATATTTATAAGAAGAAAATTAATGATATTCTCAAGAATAGATAATAACTATTCTTAAAAAATTCATAAATTTTCAAATAACAAATATTTTATAGTAATTTCACAATTATTTAACTTCATGAACTTTTGATTTCACGCTGACGTCACACCATCTAAAGCCGTAATTTTTTTGGGTATCGGTCCGATTCATTTTTCTTTCTTTTGTCATCAAACCATTTGGAGTCAAATGGCAAATTATTTTTCCTAAATTATATATATTTTCTAAAATCATATATTTTTCTAGAAAATTCTAAAATTAATATCGGCGCTTGGAATCGGAATCTTTCTCGCATCCTTACAATTTATAGGGTAGACATTAATAAAGCCAAGAAAATTCTAAAATTAAGACAAAACCAAACTAATATTAAATATAAATATCACTACCTCAAGGCAAAGGTATTTGGTTTTAATTAATATTTACATACACATTTTTGTAGAAAATTATAAAATTAAGACAAAACCAAGCTAATATTAAATATAAATATCACTACCTCAAGGCAAAGGTATTTGGTTTTAATTAATATTTACATACACATTTTTGTAGAATATTATAATTAAGACAAAACCAAGCTAATATTAAATATAAATATCACTACCTCAAGGCAAAGGTATTTGGTTAATTAATATTTACATACACATTTTTGTAGAAAATTATAAAATTAAGACAAAACCAAGCTAATATTAAATATAAATATCACTACCTCAAGGCAAAGTAGGTTTTAATTAATATTTACATAGACATTTTTGTAGAAAATTATAAAATTAAGACAAAACCAAGCTAAATCTTTTAGAATTTTTTAAATAATGATACCTTCTACATATAGAAAGTCAAGTTGTTATAAAAATAAAATATATTTTACCTGTATTTCTCCAACCTGTCTCGGGAGAGGTTACACAGTAAATAACCTATTTACTAAAACAGCAGCATGCAACGGTAAATTATTTAATATATAAGATGTGATTTATTGTTTTCTAGATATTTGCAAATATTTGAGTGGAAGAAGAGGAAGTATTTTACAAAATTATTTTTAAATTTTTTTATAAATATTTAATCAAAATTTTGTTAATATATTTTCTTTTTAATTTTATCATAGTTAATCAAAATATTGTTAATATATTTTCTTTTTAATTTTATCATAATTAATCAAAAATATATTTTTCCTTAAGTATCATTGGGAAGAAATGTAGATAATGTGACTTCTGTGAATATTCATGAACAAGAAGATGGAAGTGCTGTGGGAATTTCTGGGATCCTTGAAGAAGGTCCGGAGTCGATATCCTCGATGATCAATCCTATTCAAGAAGATGCTAATTTTGGTTAATAAAATTTTGTTAGTATATTTTCTTTTTAATTTTATCATAGTTAATCAAAATTTTGTTAGTATATTTTCTTTTTAATTTTATCATAATTAATCAAAAATATATTTTTCCTTAAGTATCATTGGGAAGAAATGTAGATAATGTGACTTCTTTGAATATTCATGAACAAGAAGATGGAAGTGCTGTGGGGATTTCTGGGATCCTTGAAGAAGGTCCGGAGTCGATATTCTCGATGATCAATCCTATTCAAGAAGATGCTGATTTTGGTTAATAAAATTTTGTTAATATATTTTCTTTTTAATTTTATCATAGTTAATCACAATTTTGTTAGTATATTTTCTTTTTAATTTTATCATAATTAATCAAAAATATTTTTTTCCTTAAGAATCGATGGGTAGAAATGAAGAGATTGTGACTTCTGTGATTAATCATGAACAAGAAGATGGAGGTGCTGTGGGGATTTCTGGGATCCTTGAAGAAGGTCCGGACATGTTTTACCATTTTTGGACGAAAGTTTTATAGATGAAGAAGTTGTAATCGATATCTCCATTGCAGCTGATAGCTCTGTAACTTTACCAATATCAGTTAATAACATTCAATTCTCATATTTAAATGTAGAACAGCCATATAATTTTATTCTTTCCCAAAAAAAACGTAATTTGTTATATTCAAATAAATTTCTGTATGTTCATCATAAATTTGGAATTTTATTTAAATGTAGACTAAGTCATTGTACGGCAAGAGGTATATTATTAAATATGCAGTTTACATTGACACATATTCACAACCATCCTTCTGAATCTGAGGAAGAGCATTATGCAATTTTAGTCACTATGAATAAACTTAAAGAACATTCGAGCAAGCAACCGTAAAACATATAATCAAGTTATGCGTATTAGAAAAATGGATCCCCTTGTTCAACTCCATCCTAATGCTCTACCAACATTTCTATGTGAAAACTATTATGAATCGTGTTATTAAATCATTGAGACCTCCTTTACCTCTTATAAATTCTGATATCCGATTATACGGCGATTATACGTTAACACTAGGTAATAAAACATTTTTAATTTGTAATGAAAATAATGAATTATTAATATTTTCTACACATGGATTACTTGAATGCCTCTGTAATGCTGACAAAATTTTGATGGACGGTACATTTTTTTCGTGTCCGTTATTATTTAAGCAATTTTACACTATTCATGTAATGATTAATCATACAATAATTCCTTGCGCTTATATATTATTGCTATAAAAACAAAGAAACATATTTAAAAATGTTGGATCTTTTAAAAAACTATTGCCTATCTATAGGTTTTTTATTTTCTCCTCCTAAAGCACTTATAGATTTTGAAATGGGAGCACTTAAGAGCTCTCGAAGAAATGTTTCCAACCATTTCTGTCAAGGGATGCTACTTTCATTATTGCCAATTTATTTTAAGACGTATACAGGGTAATAGATTGACAGCATTTAGTCGGCTTAATCCTGATTTTAAGAGATTTTATCACAGACTCATGGCGATACCCTTTTTAACTGAAACGGACATACCATTGGTATTGTCAGAATTAAATCTTGAAGTAGAGGCCTTTAATTTAGATCCCATAAGAGATCTCTTTACATACTTTAAAAGTACTTGGACAAACCCAAGCGCTAAATTTAAATATAAGATGTGGAACATGTATGATGTTCAAGGTGTAAGAACAAATAACCATGTTGAGGGATTTCATCGTTCTTTAAAAGAGTATATAACATATTCTCATCCTAATTTATATCTTTTTATTGATATATTAAAACAAATACAACAAGATATGGACATTAAATTCATTCAATTGCATAATGGGAAAAAAGTTACTGAAAGAAAAAAAAAATACTGTATAATAGACGAGAAACATTTTTATATTATGCTACTTATACACCAATGCAGTATTTAGATAAAATATCAAGATATTTAATTTCAAAAAAAAATAATGAGATACCTGCCGACTAAATTGTTTTTATATTTATACTCAGAATAATAATACATATTCATATTTTTAAAGAAATTATTTTATTTAAATACTACATTGGTGTATAAGTTTCATAATATAAAAAGTTTCTATCAATGAACAGATATAAATTAGGATGAGAATATGTTATATACTCTTTTTAAGAACGATGAAATCCCTCAACATGGTTATTTGTTCTTACACCTTGAACATCATACATGTTCCACATCTTATATTTAAATTTAGCGCTTGGGTTAATCCAAGTACTTTTAAAGTATGTAAAGAGATCTCTTATGGGATCTAAATTAAAGGACTCTACTTCAAGATTTAATTCTGACAAATTTCCCTGTATACGTCTTAAAATACATTGACAATAGTGAAAGTAGCACCCCTTGACAGAAATGGTAAGAAACATTTCTTCGAGAATTGCCGTATAATCGGATATCAGAATTTATAAGAGGCAAAGGAGGTCTTAATGTTTTAATAACACGATTCATAATAGTTTTCACAGATATAAATGGTGGTAGAGCATTAGGATGCAGTTTAACAAGGGGATCCATTTTTCTAATATGCATAACTTGATTTTATGTTTTACGTTTGCCTTGAACCGGGTTGCTCGAATTTGTACTTTAAGTTAATTCATAATTGCATAATGCTCTTTCTTTAGATTTATCAGAATGGTGGTGAATATGTTTCAATGTAAATTTCATTTTATTACAAATTCAATTGTTTTTTAGATATTTTTATTATTAATTGTAAAAAATGCTAACATATAAAAATTGACTTTATAATTCTTTGGGAAAGTAAAATTATATTGGAAGTTCTATATTTATATTGAGATTGAATGGTGTTATATCTGTGAGGAAAAGATTGGTGAAATGGATTACATCTTTTCCATCTATGAAATTTTTTTCTTCATATTAATTAAGTTGTAGTTGTTTTAAAATGTCATATTACTATTTATTATTTATTATATTTTAATAAAGGATATTTTAAATTTTATTGTCATTTGAGAAAATCCATAATTTATAAAATTCGTAACATAAAATTTTATTATTCAAATTTTTTTGTATCATGTCCATCTAAACAAGTATAAGGAAGGAGATAATTGATAAAAGAAATACAAAATTTAAATTTTGAATCCTTATTTTATTCAAATAATCATTTTTGAATATATATTGCTGATTTTTTTAACTAAAACAATTGATTAATTTATTATTAGACTTTTATATGTCTTTGTCAATCATAGGTTTTAATTAAATAGATTAATAAATTAATCCGGTAACCGATAGATGTTCAACCCTAAGTATGATCAGAATAAAAATTATAAAATCTGCCTTCTAAAATATAAATATTTATATATTAATTTGTGCTGTAAAGTAATGTAAAAAAAAGTAACGTAGTTACTAACGTTGTAACCTTGAATTTTAAATAAAAAAAACTACTATTTCAGAGGTGATTATAAGCAGTGAATATTATATATTTCAAATCTTACAATTATTATTTTGCTTATCAAATTTTTTTTAAATTTACAGATAAGAAATTATTATAATATATATAAATGATATATAAAAAAATAAGTTATATTATTCAAATGAAACAATATGTTCTCCAAGAGAAAATTAGGTAAGTCTCTTCTCTCTTTTAAAAACAATACATAAATTTTTCAAAATATTTTGTTTTGTATGGTATTTACGATTTTTTTGGGAGTGTATGTCTGAATCCTCCATTGGCCGATTTGTCCAGGTCGACTGTTATTTCCATCATCTTTTCAAAATATTTTGTTTTGTATGTTATCTACGATTTTTTAGGAGTGTATGCCTGATTCCTCCATTGGCCGATTTGTCCATGTCGACGGCTATTTCCATCATCATCTTTTCAATTAGTTCCTATATCTTAGGTTTTTTGTGGAAAATTTATCATGTTTTCTTTCTTTTCCTGGAAATTATTTTCCTCTTACGAGTATTTTTATTCATAATAAAATAGTGGCGCCACAATGGGTAGGCATTCCCTTAGTTGTGATGATTTAATGAAACATGTTATCTTATCCATAAAAAATTATTTTCTTTGCAAAAATAATTAAAATAAAACACTTGGAGACAATTATTTTTTTTTATGTACGATTTCATATTTTAAGAAAAGAAAAATAAAGAAATAAAATTATCGATTTTCGTGTTTCAAGAGAAAAAAAAAATTGAAGTAAGTAAAAAAAAACAGATACATTAAAACGTAGTTGTTTGTTATTGTAATACCTGAGTGTTGTTTTGATAGTTAAGTAACTATATAAACTAATAATTATATAAGATGATTTAACATAGTCTGGAAGAGAAAAAATAGTTAAATCAAACAAACCGCCAAAATCATCGCAATTTGAACAAATATTTGAATGCTTAGTTAGAAAATGGAATTAATGTAGAAAAAAATAATAAAGCCTACTGTTGTAATATTTTAAATGATTTGTTGTAATATTTTAAATGATTATTTATAATTGTATTAAAATGATAAAATTAATTATTATAATATATGTATATATTATGAACCTGTTGTTAGCCATGTATTTTGTTGATATTTGTGAAAAGAAATACAGTGGCAACAAAGGAAAAGGATTTTTATTCATTAATTGGTTTTTGTAAGAAGAAAATTTTACGATTGAAAAAATTATTGAAGATACGAGAAAAACATTTAATTAATAAAGAGACCAATAAATTATATGATTAATGAAAATTCTTAAATTATAGAGTATATCCAGAAAATATTTAATTAACAAAGAATATACCAAGAAAACATTTAATTAATAAAGGTAAGGAGATTTTCAATTTAATTTCAATTTCCATATTAAATAACTTTCTTATTAATTAATTTATTTTCAATGTAATTTCAATTTTCATATTAATTAACTATCATTTAATTTTAATATTAATTAACTTTCTTATTACCTACTAATTTATAAATAAATTTAAATGTATAATAAAATTTGAAAGATTAGTAAATGAGATTAATTTTTTCTTAGTTTACCCAAGAGTAGAACCATGCAAATTCAATTTAATTAAAGTGCCAATCATATTAAAATTTTTGACGCAACACGGCTCGAATTTTCTACGAGAGCTTGGAGGGGAAAAGTTACTTCAAAATATATTTTTTTATCTGCCTGATTGATTAAATTTGAGGAGGCATCTTATAATATTCGTTTTTCTATCCCTTTTCTCAATATATACTATGTGTCCGCTTTAGACTCCAAATATTCTTAAAAATATTTAAACATTTAATTGTACTATAAAGTTATTTATTTTTTATTACTGTTGACATTGAAATAACGATGTACACTCTAAAATTATTTTAAAAATTACATTTTCTAAGTGTAAGCTATTATGGAATAAAATGGGGGCAATCTTCAAACTCTGCAGCCATTTTTAAGGGAAGCATGGGAAAGAAGGAAATTAATAGATAGTCATATTAAGGATAATTGCATATGACGACTCTTATGACATATCTGAATTACAGAGATTTTCAGATAAAGACAAGTCGTTCAATGCACGTTTCTTTTTAAGGTAACCGTAACGGGTTCCCTTTTTCAGATGTAACGAGTAACTGTAACGCGTTTCTTTTTGTAGTAACGTTTACAGCACTAGAAGTAATTAAAAATTTTTAATATGATATACTGGATTTTGTTAACTTTTCAATTTTTAACTATCCACTTAAAGATCTTCATAAATATATACACATTCCACTAACAATGTAAAATTTATTTTTGGGTTCAGAAATTTCAGATTAATCTTTTATACCTAACAATTAACATAAGCCAGATAGTCTACATTCTGTTATTAACAATAATCATTTATATTAATTAATTATTATTGTTAATATGACCGATTAATACTAACCTTTAAATTGTTTTTTTTATGTTGATATAAATTGATTTTTTTATAAATTGTGTAGATTGATTTTTATTATATAAATTTTTAATATTAATATGAAAATTATTATATAAACCTGATTTTTTTAGTTTGATAAACAAAATGTAAAATTTTAAAATATATTATATAAAATTAAATTAATAATTTAAAATAAAATAAACAATCTTTATATTAGAAAACTTTATGGTTACATTTTTTTATTTAGAAAACTCGTATCATTACATCATTTATCCTAAAAAACTTTATGGTGGCAGAACTTTATTAATTATAAATAACCAATTATTTTAGCGAATTTAAATACATTCTTCCTATATTTTATTTTATATTAGTTTATATATATTTAAGGTTTTTAATAATACTTTATTTATATATTTAAATATTACTTTTTAAATATTTTATAATATATTGCATAAATTATCATATAACGATTTTAATTATTTATATTTAAATATTTTTTTATATATAATTTAATATTACCTTATATATATATATTTAAATATTACTTTATATATATATTTAAATATTACTTTATGTATAATTTAATATTACCTTATATTTATATTTAAATATTACTTTATATATATATTTAAATATTACTCTAGATATATTTAAATATTTTAATTATTTATATTTAAATATTTCTTTATATATAATTTAATATTACCTTATATATATATTTAAATATTACTTTATTACTTTAGATATATATAATTATTTATTAAATATTACTTTATATATAACTTAATATTTAATATTACCTTATATATATATTTAAATATTACTTTGGATATATTTAAATATTTTATATTTAATTAAATATTCTTAAATATATATTGCATAAATTATAATATAAATATTTTAAAATTTATTAAATTTAAATGTTAAATGTGTCTTGTTAGTATTCACCATCTTTCTTTTATTTGACTCCAAACAGCTGTGGGAATATTTCGGCCCCGAACCACACATAAGGGGTTACGAAAACTACAATATGAATGTGAAATATATCAATTAAATATGATGATATTCGTTGAATTTTAATTATGGTAGATTGTTTTATGCTAAAAAAAAAAATTTAATTTATGTCATGTAATTTCGAAACAAAATTTAACTTCAGTGTTAAATAAATCACATTATCCCAACTGTTGTTACTGACTTGAAGATTGTTAGTTGGACAGTCAATCAATAATGTTTATGTTTTTATATATCGTAGAACTATTATATTTTCAAGCATATGATTATTAGCATGTCGTTGTATTCAATATATTTATAACAAGATATTTATTATCATTGTATTCAAGATATTTATAATTGATATCACATATATTACGAATAAATGATTTATCAAGAAGATTTATAATAACGTGTTACTAACGAGTTTTATGACACCAACCTCTTCTCAAAAGTTTTCTTAAAGAAAAAAAAAGTAAGGGCCTATCATTTAGACATAATTTTTAAATAAACATTATTTCATAAGTATTCATTAAATGAAGATATTTATGTTAAATTTGTCCAATTTAAGCCATATAAGGAGTCATAACTCCTAGACCCATGTTCATCCCAGTCTAGGATTTGGTACAAATATAACGTAGTATTATACCTATCTACAGGGAAAAAAATTTGAAAAAAAAAATCTTTGTTTTTCTATGACCATTTCCGGCTTTATTACATCCGGTTTTCGATATTAATCAGATTTATATCATATTTATTTGTATGTCGTATAAATGAACTATTATTAAGCTACACAATAAAATTTAAATTATTTATCTAATTATTTCTCGAGTTATTTGAAAATAAATGAAATGCATTTTGTCAAAAATTTAACATTTTTCTGCGCTTTAAACGACCATATCTTAGCGGATAAACCTTGTTGGGAGGTAAAAATTCATTTTTTTAAAAAAAAGTCATAAATATAAATGATATATCTATTATAACATAAGAATATTAATAATAATACTATTATTTTGTTTGATATGGTAAATACTTAGTGTATTTTTAATTTAATATATTTTGCTTAATTAATTTTTTTTTAAAATATATTATAAAAATGATTTATTTAAAATGAGTTAATCCAGAGTAATAAATATGTTATTAATTTTTTCCCAATAAATTAAGTTATTGCCTAAACTATGGTGGTATCGATATATTTTCAATTTATAATAAATATTAATTTTTTTATTTTATATTATATATGGTCATCAGGTAAACTTTTCCTCCTTTATTTTTCAAAATTATCAGAATAATTTATATTATGAATTTATTAGATTAACTGATAGTGACCATGATAGAACTTTTAAAAAATCTTAATGTAATTCGAACGGACGTACTGCTTTTTATAAAGCGCTTCTATATATATCTTTATTACCATCTGTTGTTCGGAGATATACTTATAATACTTTTACTTTTCCCTTAGTCATTTGAGATTGCATAACGAGTAAAATTTTTACGAAAATTTTAAGCGTTGTTTACTTGCTGAATATTTTAGCATAATTTTAAAAAAAATTCTAAAGAATCTGTAATTAATTAGACATATAAAAGTATTTAAAATTGAAATGATTTAATTGGATAAATTGCGAAATATATATTTGTATTTTACATATATATATATATAAAAGTAATTAGAGTTGTTAAGGAGCGGCTCTCCTGGAGCGGGAGCTAGCTCCTTCTGAGAAGGTAGGGACAGACGCGAGAGCTGGCTACTTTCAAAAAGACTCTTAAAATAATATTTATAAATAAAATGGAAAAAAAATTCTAAGATTCTAATTTAACAATTTTAGAGACCTCATCCAAAAATGTTAAAAAGCATCTTAGGTTTCTACGTAAATTTCGTAATCGTAATTAATTCTATTAACAGTTGATCCATTATTTATTTGAATGAGTTTAAGATCATTACAATTTATTAAAAATTTTACCACGGGTGCGCGTATGATATTTTCTGGGTTAGGGCATGATGGAACCCCTCAATGGTTTTCAGTGCGGGGTCCCACTACTCTATACCTAAATTAAAAAAAATATACCTTGACCATATTATATAAGAAAATGGTGGTCTATTCCCAAGCCAAGCTGTATCCATGTATCGCATAAAACTTAGCAAATTATCGTTAGCAGCCATTAGATAGCAAGTAAAACGCACCACTGCCACATGTTCTTCCTTAGAGAATGGGTGGCACTACTTTATGTACATCCGATTGCCCGATGTACGATCCTGATAAGCCCAATGTTTGGCATTCGCGCCATAAACCTTGTGAAAAGTGAAAATAACAGCTTAAATATATAATTTATATATTTTTAATTTAGTAATAGAGTAGTGGGACCCTGCACTAATAACTATTTAGAGGGGTTCCATCATGCCCCAAACCGGAAAATATCATACGCGCATCCTAATATTCATACGTTGATCAAAATTTTAATAAATTTTCAAAATTGTAATGATCTCAAACTCATCTAAATAAACTAATGGATCAACGATTAATCGCATTAGTTGCGCCTACGAGATAAGGAATCGGAAATTTAACAGACATTTACAAAGAAACCGAAAATGTTTTAACATTTTTGTTCTAAAAATCGTTAAATTAAAATCTTAGAATCTTTGAACATTATTTTCAATTATTAACGCTCCTTTTTAAAAGTAGCTAGCTCCCACTCCCTCTACTGAATTTTTAAAAGGCAAATCTGATTATTTATATATATATATATATATATTCAAATACAAATATATTTCGTTATTTTGAAGGTAATAATAAATTATTCGGTTGTGAAAAATTAAACTGAACATCCTTTTATTTTCAACTGTTTCGTACCAAATTCTTTTTATTAAGTAAATTTACATCATATTTTAGGCAATATTATATTAAAATAAAATTAACATATCAAAAATGGAGATAAAAAAGAATTGCAATCTTATAATAACTGTTTGTTCAAATTTTGAATAGGTCGTTCTATTCAGTGCCACATTGCCTCACGACATACTTGAAATGACCAGCAAATTTATGACAGATCCTTTGAGAATACTCGTCAAGCGCGATGAACTCACCCTAGATGGTATAAAACAATTCTTCGTTGCGGTGGATAGGGAGGATTGGAAATTCGAAACTCTGGTAGATCTTTACGATGCACTCGTAGTGACCCAAGCCGTCATTTTCTGCAATACCAAACGCAAGGTTTTTATTTAAGATACCGCATATATGGTTTTTATCAGGAACCCAGAACAAGAGCATTTTTGCGTTTCTGTTCCAGCCAAAAAAAAGTGTTTTAGTTCCGTTCCTACCTTTGGAACTTTCCTAGAAAAATGTATAGTTTAATATATTTTTTTAAATCAACACATTTTTTATCATTCATTCTTATTTAACCATTAATATCATTCAATTATTACATCTATATCTTTAAGAATAAGTTACCTTTACATTTCCTGACAATCTCGATGATTATTAATATCAAAAAAATTTTGTCCATTTAAAATTTGAAGACAAAAATTGAAAATATTATTTATTCATCAGTTTTTTTTTTAATTATCTTATTCCAAATTTAAGTGCCAACATCATATTATTGGTTAAGTTTCCCTCATTTTAATTCCTTAATTAGCTTAGGATCGTTTTATGTGATGAATGATTATCATTTATTAATATTATTTTAAAATATAATTTATCTTGGCGCCCTGCTATATGGATTTAGAATTTATATCAAAATTCTTCTTATCTTTTTATATTCATTTATAATTATGTAATAGATTTTTAGGAACGTTTCCCGAATATTTCGTTCTGTTCCATAAATTTATTCGAAGGTCCAATCTATATTCCTGTTTATCGTTAAAAAAATGCCTCCCTTTTATTATATTAAGTTTTATAAAATTTTGCACTTTGTGCCATCATAAGTAGATGCTCTTGTTATATGTTAACCTTGAATTTGAAACCTAGGTCGATTGGCTAACTGAGAAGATGCGTGCCGCCAATTTTACAGTTAGCTCCATGCACTCGGGGATGCCTCAGAAGGAGAGGAATGAAGTCATGAGCGCTTTCCGGTCTTTTACAACCCGCGTCCTTATAACGACCGACGTTTGGTCCAGGGGGTTAGACGTTCAACAGGTTATTTTAAATGAAAATTTGATAATTGTATTTTCAAAAATCTACACGATAAACTATATATGTCTTTCAAAGGGTACCTGAATCGCCATAATGTTCAGGACTTGTATTTAAGAAGAATGAAATCAATGTAAATGATAGTAGTATATCTTTTGTTTAATATTGAAATAACATTTATTTTTATTTTAAAAACTCGATTGCTGGTGTTATACCAATATCATGTCTCCATAATTTAAGATAATATTATTACTATCTGTGCCATTTTTCTTTTTCGCTTAAAAAATTTGTTTTAAAAATTATGAGTTCAAATAAACCTAAGAAATTTGCCCTAAATTAAATATCCCGATTATATTTTATAAATTTGTTTTCATGTCATGAATTTTTTGATTTTTTTAAAAAAAACAGAATGGGTTAAACATTATGATTAATTTGAAAATATTTATTTTCTTCTAAATTAGGTATCTCTGGTTATAAATTATGATTTACCCAACAGCAGAGAACTTTACATCCACAGGATAGGTAGGTCCGGTAGGTTTGGCAAGAAGGGTGTGGCCATTAACTTTGCAAACAAAGAAGACATCAGAATTTTACGGGATATTGAACAATATTATAGTACCCAGATTGATGAGATGCCAATAAATATCCACGATTTATTTTAATTAATTATAAATTTTTTTTAAAATGTTGTTATATAAACTATTATAGATTTATGACATCTGTATTATATTGATTATTCTTAATTATGATAATTTATAAATAAATATAAATATGATGGGTTATAAAGTGTCTTTATAGCTTAAAAAATCAATTTCTTCATATAAAAATATTATATTTGACCAGAAGGATCTTCAAACTAATTTTTTTTAGTAAAGCTTTGATACTTTTACTTATTGCTGTCTAGGTTCTTACTTTCTTTCTGAATTTATCCACAAATATCTTTATATGAATCAATTTATCTGAGACTAGCAAATTGATTGAGACAACTCAAGGTTTGAATGCTTTGTCGTCTATTTTTTTCGGGCAGTTAAAACAAGTCGACTTGAATCAGTACCTTAATGGGAGGAACAAGCTCACCTAGATTTGTATCTACCCCATAAAAAAATATATGAGGGCAAATGACTCCCATAGAAACTGGGAAGTTATATAAGATTCAAAGAGCAGTTCTATTTCGGTTGGTTAGTCAATCCTTGTAAGAACCAATGCAGATTATAATCTAGTGGGTTAAGAGTATTGTTGTTAAATGTTAGAAGTCGTGACCCCGACCCAAAATGATGGCCTAAATTTTTTGACCTAACTCCAATTTGACAATGTATTTAAAATGGTATAAATATATATGATTATTGATCATAAATAATGCTTGTGATAAATAATATCATGATTATTAAATAATAATTTGAATTAAAATAATATATACAAATAGTAATTTTAGTGCAAATTCTGACTATTAGAGACACTTTGCAAAGGTGTCACTAGCCTTTGCAATCTCAATGGTCTCAAAAAATCTTTTTATAACGTTATCTTAAATTACTTTTTTTTAGCTAACAATTTCTAAAATTTATGATTGATAAACTGGATTATTTTTTAAAGGATATTAATCAGTTTCTTGAGTGATAGCACACGTAGTCAGGTTCTGAAGGAATATAGAACGGATTCCGTCAATTATAGGTGAAGAATCACAGTCGAAAGTTAAGATCACTATACTAAAATAGTTGGTAGTGCAAATACTAGGTTCACGTAAACTTAATGCCTTTAATTGGTGTTTTGAAGCAAGGAGAAGCCGCCAATACAGTTAAACCCTTCTTCGTAGGTAGAATTACAGTGTAACTATATATCTATTTTCTTATCTGTTTTATATAAATAGAAAGTCATCCAGATATCATAAAACAGATGAGAATAGAGGGCCTGATTATTCTTGGGTCTGGGTGTAAAGTTTATGACAGATCTATTGTTTCAGATATCTAGTTTGATTGATATAAATTTAAGTCTCGTTTTAAGGAGGGGATGTTTGAATGTTATCTGTTGAATAAGTAATTTGGCTAAATGAATCCGATGTTTATAGGGTGTGGAAAGACGATAAAAAGTTAAATTAGTGTCCGACTTACGAATATTAAGCAGAAATGTTAGATTCTGCTATTTGAACCATTCACCTTTGGGTGATAGGATATGTGAGGCTTTACTGTAAAATGCTCTCTGGCATGAAATTCAGAGTTTAAACTATATATATAGTAGTATCCTAATAAATTTATATAACAGTAATTAAGGTTGCAGATAAATGCTTTACAATAGCCACCGGGTCATGCTTAGTTGCGAGATCTATGAATGAAGGGATGGTTACTGTTTTACTGGATTGGGGATATTTTAATTTACCTCATCTTAACCTCTATCTAATTGACCTTTGGTGCTTACTCCCCTAAAAAAATTGAAAGAAGATGACTCCCACCCGCCTTTCCTAGTTCGAATGGATCTACGATAAATATTTTAGGTATTGTCAATGGAATAAAATAATGCAGATCATTATATGATTGAGTGCAAATTACGAAATCAGAAATTTAATCAATATAAAATTTATTCATAATATTCGCGATTTATATTCTCCAGCCTTTATGACATTGACTCTAGAGACAAATAATAAAATGCAATTTGCCCATATTTTTATAATCAATAGATCTATCAAATTCTCGTCTTATCTCATTTTTCTCAAAAAATGTTAGCATAGTACACTACAATATTCAAAACTTTTGCATTCAACGATTATTATATATTTCCTATAGATACCGACATAACAAATTAATATGTAATCGTTATATAATTCATAATATATTTATTTGTATGCATTTTAGAATTCTCGGTCTATTTCGAATATCATAATAAAAAAAATAAATTGGAATATAAGTGATTAAATAGGGAATTTGTTAATATAAAAATAAATATGAAAAGCAATATATTTATAAGATAACGCACTCCTGTTAAAAAAAAAAAGGGGGGGGGGGGTTGTAATAATTAATAATCAATTAGTATAATTAATTCTGTTTTGTATTGAATATATATAAATTTCATTTATAATTATGATTAAATATATTACTGCTTGAATATTATAGAACTTCAATAAACCTTTTTTTTAACTATATTTTTGGCAAAAACTATAATATATTTAGATATAAATGTTAATTTATAAATTTTACAAATAGTTCATAGGAGTAGCCGGGTAGCAAAATCCTGGCAACGCCTGTGCGATATTATTACTCATTTATTTATTTTATAATTTCCTTATAAACTAATAACCTTGTTTTTAAAAATGGAAAAAAAAATTAATATAGAAAAACTGAGGATAGAACCTTCCTTCCTTTCTTCCTTCCTTCCTTCCTTCTTCTTTCCCTTCCATTCTTCCTTCTTTCCCTTCCCTCCTTCCTGTAATCATTCAATTTGATTTGTATAAATAAAGATTTTTTATACCTTCCTTCCTTCCTTCCTTCCTTCCTTCCTTCCTTCCTTCCTTCCTTCCTTCCATCCTTCCTTCCTTCCTAAGAAAGAAAGAAAGAAAGAAAGAAAGAAACTGTTTTAAATTCTATCTATATTGTTTACCTATCCCTTCTTACGTGACTATTTAATTCTGTCAATCAATATTTGAGTAGGCTTAGTAGATTAATGTTTCTTCGAATATTGCGGTGATTAGCTAGAGCGGGTTAGCGGGTTTTGATTGGCATTTTATTATAAACTCATTTTTATAACTTTTCTCTTTTAAATAAATTAACATATAATTCGATATTAATTTTTCTTCATTATTATATATTCACAATTTTACCAATTAACAATAGAACCCAATGACATCGTTAGCTTTTTCACCTTAAACTCTTTTCCATGAAATCTATATTATTAACAAAAGGAAATTCTAGCTAAAATTAGAATTAATTTTCAGAAGAGCTCTTCAAAGTTTCCAGAGAACTCGACCTCTGAACCCCCTAGATATATACTTTTCAACCTACTAATTTTATTCAACATTTTTTTAAAAATATTATAATAAAAAATAAATACATTCAATAAATATTTTATTTATCGATATATATACGTTGATAATATTTTAGAAAAATTTAAATAGCCCGATATTTTTTAGATTGAGACGATTTATATATTCGGTTAGCCAAAGCGTTTACCTAGCTTACTGAACTCCTCGTGGAAATTGTTGTCGAATAACATGAATAGGTAAAATATGAGGGTAACAAATATTAGCTCCATCGTGTCGGAAATATCGATAACCAACTCGGATTTAATATGATCTCTCAAGATGGTAAACACTATGTTGGGGATTTCGCAAAGGCAAAAAAGAGCGAAATATATTAAAGCTGATAGGTTGCGAGCCAAAATTTTCGCAGATTTTTTGTTGGTAACTTTTTTCGATATTTGGACAAATTTGGCATTGATGGACATTCCTTCCAAGGGTGCGGAAGGAGTAATATAGAAGACCTTTGATTAGTCTCGTCATTTCCCATAGGTGCTCTGCCGTGGGTAATGTTATATCTAGTTGCCAAGGTCAAGAATTTTGGCCTTAAGTCAATTGGGCCTAATGAATTGGTAATTTCTATTTTATTGTTAGAGCGTAAAGGTTCTATAGAAATTTGCTTTCTGTCTATTGGGAAAGTTTTTCGATGTTTTCCCATAAACTTAAAAACGTAATACGTAACACCAAACCCATAAAATAAGATAGCAAATCCTGGTAATATTAAAACTATTATCACCCTAATTAAATCATAGGTAACTGACCAGGGTAGGATAACTCCCTTAACGCAGAAATTTTTGCCATTAATATTTCTATAGTTAATGCGATTTGATGTGCCACTAAAATTCTCATAGTAATTCAAGGGGTTATATTTATTCAGTGAAATTGCACTACACTCGATAACATCGTACCAGAAATAGCTAGAAAAAGATAAAACATTTGATATTAATATTAAAATCAAAGGCATAAGTTTCACAAAAGTACTCCTCCAATTCCTAGTGTTTATGCCTACCAGATGACCAAGATTGGCCATAATTTTATCGCTCATATTGGAATTACATATTTCTTTATGCCGGAATGGTTTGTGGAGGTTCATAAATCGATCCCGTAAAAGCAAGCAAAGAATTAGGATAGATGCGCTAAAAAATCCATTTATTATTGCAAGGGTACAGCCAGTGTAAAAGTAAAGCCATGCATAGTTGGGTGAATACTCAGTATTGCTAATAAATTTTCTGATATTTTCGCCAATTCTACAAGCGTCGCAAAGAGATATTGTCAAATTGATCCAAGCTATGTAAGTCAGGTAGTAATAGTAAAGATCACTATAAGTTATTCGTCGACGTTTTCTAATGCATTTCGTAACGTATAACCCTATTCCATTGCCCATAATCCCTAAAAATAAAAGGACAGGCATTATCGTAATATTTATTATAGTTGATACATTCCATATTAAAGTCCGATTCGAAGTGCCATTTTTTACGGGACATAATTTTATTAATTCCCTGTCATTTAATATAATTATGTTGCCATTAGAAGAATTTGGCATCAGAAAATGGAATTGTAAATATTGAGTTTTTTTAAAAAAATTTGATTTAGGTAAATAAAGAAATTTCTTAATATTTCTAATCAATGTATAAACACAGATATAATTTATTACTCTTAAAGAAATAACACGCCTATGATAAAAAATAAAGGAAGGAAAGAGAGTGAAATTATAATTTAATATATTATAAATGTATATCAATTAGTGATAATTAATTTAGTTTATTTTATTTTTTTAAACTATTAC